GGTGGTGAGATTTCAGAGAATCCCTCATGGGTGTAGTCCCAGGTCTCAGAGACGCAGGCAGAATTCCAGGGGTCCGGCTGGGAGGGGCCTGCCCTGGCCTAGCCCCACCTGCCACCCCTTCTGGCCACTCTGGACTCTGCTGGGCTTGGGTTGTGGGGTGGGGACGGAGGAGGCAGGGCCCGGGTCCTCTCCCTGGGGCCACCTGTGTGCCAGGCTCTCTTCTCCATGGCTGGCGCTTCCTGACTCCAGACACAAACCTGGGGCTCTGTCAGGATCCGAGTGGCTGGCCTGCCCTGCGGTCCCCCAGCACCCCCCAAGCCCTGAGGGCTGGCCTGTCCGTGAGGGAGGAAGGCCACAGAGTCCACTTCTTTTCCTGGAGGTTTGTCCACATAGAGGCCTCTTTCCTGCTCCTGGGAGGGATCTGTCTCAGGGAGTTTGGGCCTTTTCCCCCCAGACTAGATCCTCCCCCCTGCCCAGGCAGCCCCCAGGACAGCAGTACCCCATCCTCAGGTGCTGGTGCAGACGCCAGGGCAGGGGCCCCACTGGATGTCATGCTGTGGGGCCTGGGGTGGGCCAGCCTCCAGCTCTCCTGCTGTCCCACTCTCAGTGCTAGGGGGCTCTGCAGAAGGCGAGGGGCAGGGAGCCACTGTGGGCCCCTCGCCTCCAGCCATGCCAACACCAGGGGTCTGTGTCCCCAGGTGTCTGCAGGCTCCCCTCTACTGGGGTGGGATCCCTTCTGCTTGTCAGAACTAGCCCTGTCTGCCACTGGGGTTGGGCGCTGGGAGAGTGGCTCCTTGGGACTGAGATGGGGCTGTTCCCATGGGCAGGACCCCAACCCGCCTTGGGGCTGCTGGCACTGACGGCCTCGTGGACGGCTTGGGGCTGGAGCAGAGGGAACAGGCTACTGCCCTGCCTTCCTCCAGGCTGCCGGCTCCTGGGACAGTCCTGGGTTTCTTCTCCTCCCGTCCGCCCTCTGCCCCAACCCACCCCCCCTGCTCCCCTGGCCCCAGGAGGCCGCCCGGCCTCCAGCTTCGCCTGGTCCAGTGGTTCTGACGCTCTCTGCCAGGCTAGCCCTCGTCTCCACCCATCTTATAATATCTTGGGTCAGCTTAGTATCGAGTCTCCTTGAGAACCACCGGCTCAAGTTCTGAGCAGCATCCTGTCCTCAAGGGTTTTCCTTGGGGTTGCACAGAACCTAGAAATCATCATGGAAAGAACGATTTCTGAATATACCATGGCCCCTGGCGGGCAGGAGTGGCTCTGCTCAGATGCGCCCCCTCCCGTGGGAGCAACACATTACACCCTGGCTGTAGGCCCCCTGAGGGCTTGTGGGTGCTGACCGAGCCCACTGGTGACGGGGGCAGCTGCCTCTCTAGCCCCCAAACCCACCTGCCCGAGGCCTGCCCAGCTTCCGAGGAGGAGAGTCTGGTCCTCTGATCCAAACCAACCCCCCACAGCTGTCAGGACCTCACTACGTTTCCTTCCTCCAGTGCGGCCCCAAATGAACCCCCGGAAAAGCTTCTTGGAAAAGGGAAGTGATCCCTGGCAGGACCTGGGAGCCCCACCCAACCCGCTCGGCCTCCAGACCCCGGCTGGCTGGCTAGCCGGGAATCCCGTGTTGGCAAAAGCAGCAGAAAAAGGAAACAGGAAGAGGGGACAGG